CATCCATGCAGGTGCTCTCAGGACGAAGAAAACCCATCAAGCAAAACGGTCTATCTGTAAAAAACGAAAATGCGGCACGCCAGTTGTTAAATGTTTAATTATTCGAAAATGCACGGTATTAGCGACTATTAACACGATCTGGCGAACCACACACGGTCAATATATCAACCACAAAGTGCACGATCCACATAAAGATCCAGACACAAAGCCAGCAGACCATTAAAGTTCCAAGTGCAACAATATGCGATGAATCCTTTGATCGGATCGACGGGATCAAAATGGAAAGAAGTCGCAACGAAAGTGATACATAAAATGTAAAATGTCTTTTGACTAAATAAGTGCCGACTATACGGGACGTCGTAAAAGTAAGGCCCGTTTGCCACATTGAAACCATATTTTATCCGGCAGTGACTTTTATGAATTAAAATTCTACCGGCTGAGGCTGACCCTCTGGTAAATTATTACGACGGTATTAAAATCACAGAATGATTTAGGAACTTTGTTTTGGTTTGCTAAACTTTAGAGAAACTGAAACATCAAAGGATCAGATATCCAGGTTCCGCCTCCTATACAAAAGATATCGGGAATTTCAAAAAAATTACCATCTTTTTAATCAAAATCTGAAAAAGTTACGATTTATCCAGGTTTTCCGTCAAGTCATTAGATCATATTCTACCGGTCGTTCGACGATGCTCGCAGCCTAAAAATGAAGACAGATATAAACTATTTATATTATTCCGTGTGCCACATAATATTTTTATTTGTCTCTCGCATCTAATTTGATCACATGTCTGGTTGGTATAATCAGTCATCGTCTGTCAGCCGTCAGTCTGCTATTTTAATATCTAACTTCGTGTGGATAATGCCGGCAGGTATAAGTACCACAATGTCTGATCTAATTTTATAGCAAATTTTATGGCAATTTTAAGGGTCATTATAGGTGATTATAAACTGAAATTCTTTGAAAATCTTTGAACCTTGTACTTACTATTTGTTCCGACTCATTCGACTCTTCGTATTCCTGAATAGACAGCATTTTCTGCCTCAGTGCCCAGTGTATGCCTCTTTTTTATATATTTTATTAAATACAAAATTATCGATTTGGAACCCAAACAGCTTGTAATAATTATTTGCATTGAATTATAACTAATGACGTTTAATATTGCGCAAGTTTCATCTTTTGGATCATTATTTATTTGCAAGAGTTGCTTCCGATTCTCTATTCCAAAAATATAAAGTTTCTATAAAAAATGGTGTGTTTCTTTAACCATAATTCATATATATTTTGCTCATTTCATCCGGAGAATTTACTAAGACTCCATTTTTTGAAAAGTCATCGCAAGTCAATAGTCTTCTCGCTATCTTCCCCTTTTCATCACTAATAAATTATGCAAAATATTTTAAACCTCGAACTGTATTGGAAAATAATTATCTATAAGCGTAGAAATCTGATTTTAGTGGGGAGAATCATGTAGACGAAAATACGCCACAAATTATTAGCTCCATATACACATTTCACTAACTCAATTTCTATTTACAGACGTGGACAAAACTGAGCAAATTGTAATAACTAAAAGTAAATTTTCACCATTTACTTTAAAATAAAACTTTAGCCCTTAAGAAAATAAAATAAGGCAGTTTACAAGTTGTCTTCCTTCTATCTTGTAAAAAGGAAGTTAACTGGAAGATTAGTTTCGATTACATCCGTCTTAAACTTTAAGCTGACACAATCTGCGCGTAAACACGAGCTGCGCCCGAAAAATTGAATAAGTTCAGTGGAAGCTTTCGAGCAAATCACTTCTGAAGATGCACGTCACTCGTGCTTGCGAAACCTCATCAATAAATTATATTCTAGGACGACATACATTACCGACAAGCTAACCAGTTTCATGAGTCTACATTAATATATAAACTAATAAATTTAATTATATTGATTTCAGACTCAGAACTGAAAGATATGCGAATACATGAATATACAATACACATTTTTTGTATTTCTTGCAATGCAATTCTTCTGAAATAGCCTTCGATTGTTTTACCTCGCCAGATGTATAAATTTTGTTTCCAATTCGATCTGCTCTTCCTAACATGCATCCATCAAATCTACCAGGAATTTTCAATTTCCATTCTAAAGTTTTCCTATCAGTAAATTTATCGACATATTACACCGGGAGAACCTTTTAAACGGGTTTCGTGAAAATTTTTGATAAATTTTAGTTACATTGATTAAGTTATTAGCTGATAATTTTATAAACACAATTTGATTAATTAATAAAAAAAATAAATCAGCCCAAAATGTATATTATTTTTTGCATAACGCTTGTTATTATTATTGCAAGATGGTTGTTTCTGTTGAGAATTCGGTCTGGGCAGTGGCGAAGAAAAGAAAGAATCTTCACCACTGCCCATACCGAATTTCCAAGAAAATCAAGCATCTTGCAATTATTCCATTTCGGTCAGGAAACTGGAACTTAGCTAGTTATTATTGGTATGTATTTCAAAAATTTTTAACAAACGCAAAGCTAACGAAAAAGTTGGAAAACTGGTAAATAAACGTAAATCGGCCGTATTTAACTTATTTCATAGAGACTAGTTTTTACACTGCTTTCCTACGACGTTTGCTAGTTTTTTTTTCGAAATCTATCATTCCATAGTAACCCACTGAAACGAATAATTTTCCTTCCTGATTTCAAAGATATTTTGTATGCAAAGAAATTATCACCGGACGCTAGTTATTAGATACTCCTTTTTTTTAAGTAAACATCTTTCTCAATTAGTAATTTGAGTAACATTGTACATTGTAATAACTTTGTACTTTAACACAAGTTAAATGTTATATAAACAAATATATGTTTTTTAAAGCGAAGTGGTTAATCTTTGGTTAAAAAAATAACAAAAGCATTCATTATTATTGAAGAAAGGATTTTGTTGTGATTTAGATTGAGATTTTAGTTTGTTTTCTATTCATTTGCGGTTTTTCGATCGAATATATGTAAACAGTTACCAATTATATTTTATATTGATTACATGAACGGTGTCCCTAAATTATTTTATGGCCTTGGTCTTGGTTTGCAGCTTTTAAATAAGACTTAAAGATAAATAAAACAGTTAATAATAATAAACTTGAAATGTAGTAGTAACCAATAAAAGACAATCAAATAATCTCAAAGAGTTTGCCATTTCAGTTCTTTTGCTATTTTCTAAATTCTTTGTTTCTTATATAATTTCCGCATTACCTATATTTTTCTCACGATTAAAAATCTGAAGTTTTAGAAAATACGAAAACCGATTCTCTATTAGGGGTTGAAACCTGCATAGTGTAAATGCATATAACATTTTCTACTGTTAGACATAAAAAAAATGTTCTTATAATTAAAGGTGAAAAGAACTGAGTCATGTGGCGGTGATTATTGGTGTTAAATAAATTTCTTTTCATCGGGCTATTTGAAGTCAAATGTTTTATAACAGAAGGACACTAGCCGCTGATTAACGGGATTTATGCAAAGGCATGGAAGCAATTTAGTCAATCTAATTAACTAATCTACTTTACTTTTAAAAACAAAACCGGAAAAAGGAGAATCTAAAAACTCACACTGTGCTTTCTATTTATTATAATGGAATACTGGCGTTAATTTTGAAACACCCTTTACTAGTCGTAAAATACCCAAAGTGCCCATTTACATTTACATTCATTTTCTACTATGACTCATGCAGCCACAGTTTTTTTTAAATGTAATGTTTTATATGGCGTTAAATAATATTGATTTATTCACTTCACATTAAAATGTTGCACATAAAGTTCGAAATCTGGTTGATTTTCTTCTGGCCTATTTGCGCCAAAACAGCGCTAATGACCGTTTTAAAAATCTTTTAATAACCTGAATCATCATTTGACATTTTTGTTTTGTTTTCCTGGCTGGATCTTGAGAATTCCACCATGATTTATTTAATTTTAGAGTTAGTCTGTAGATTATGATTTAGAATTCTATTTTGGGTGCTGGTAATTATGTTCCGATGCCCGTTCTTTTAACAAATGTTTTCAATTCATTGTGCAAGAAAAGCGACTATGAAATTATTCTTCAGCCAAGAAAGCTCTGAAACATGTTGTTATTCATTGGAAAAATTTCGTTTTTTATTTTGGGTTTCGTTTTGCGTAAATTGTGTAAGAAATAAAGTAAATTAAAATGTTTTTATTACAGATTGCAGGTACATATTCCCTGATTAGAACCAAAACAATCGGAAATCGTCTGCTGACGTGGATAGAAAACGAATTTATTTTCTTAAAGCGCATTTGTTTAGCACGTCCACAGTTTTTTTCTTGACAGACGAATTATTTATACACCGATCAGCTTCTGCGTTTTCTTGTTAATAAAGTGGCAAAAGTCCAAGCAATTTTATCGTCTAATATTTCAATTATTATTTCTGTCATTAACAATATATGGGGGCTAAACGCAGTTCGGTAATTACATTTATTGCCAGATGTGAACATACAAGATGTTTAGTTTACGAGGTACAAGTTGCATAGAAGTATTATTATATAGGTAGATATATTAAATATTTCCATGAAAATGTCTATATCTATGTTAACCTTGCTTTAAATAAATGAAAACAAAAAAATATGTATTTTCTAAGCTTTTACTGAAATCGAATTTAAGCTTTCATTTTTTATTGTCTGGCTGTTGTGTTTGTAAGTGTACCGCAAAGGGGATTCAGTATAGTCCAGTTGTAGAAATGTATCTTCCATTTTATTTGTAATTGAAGTAGTCTTTCGGATGTTCCAGTTATATTTTCTAGTTTCAGTTTTTTTACTTTTGTAAAAACATTGATTTGAAGAATTGTGTAACTGATTTTGGGGAGTTTTTTTTACTGGTAAATCAGCAGTGAACGCTTTAGAGCCTCTCTGTATCCACCTTGCTTAAGAAGTAAAAGTAATTGACAAAAATCCATTGTGACAGACAAACTAGAATCATTATGAAATTAAATAATTTATTTCTTTTCAGGTACTCCAATTAATCGCTTACCGATAATGGCGAAGACAGTGTTGGACCTCTTCGAATTGTATAATCTGGTAGTGGCTCGGGGCGGATTAGTTGACGTAATCAATAAGAAGTTATGGCAAGAGATAATTAAAGGACTACACCTACCATCTTCGATAACTTCAGCCGCCTTCACGCTTAGAACGCAGTAAGTTCAGTTTATGTCGTATTAAGTGCCGTAAAAGTGCTTCTAGTTAAAGCATTATAAATTTTATGAAATTTAATAATTTCACAAAATTTTGATAATTAAGTATCTCACCTGAATTAACGGCATGGAAAACTAAATGGAAACACAATTGAATTAAATTTTCCCAGCGTTATCCATAATATAATAAATACATAATAAATAATATGCAACCCTTATTTTGGGATTATCAAAAGCGAGCTTAGGAAGAATTATTCACAAAGGGTTAAAGTTTGTCCCTACAAATACCAAATGGCGCAAGATCTTAGCTCTGAAGATGTATCCTAACTATCAACAAGCCAGATAATTTTGTTTTTCAAATTTGGAATGGTAACACATTTACAATATTTTAAGAGGCATTTTTTTGAAGGGCGTGATTAACAAACAGAATTTTAGGTATTTGTAAAACGAAAATTCTCGAGAAATCATGGACCTTTTTGGTCTCTATTTCTTTGAAGATGCAAATTACCATGCAAATGATTGTGATGTACGAGAATTATGTAAATATTCTCGAAACACTTTTTATTCCTGGCCTACTTAATAATTAGTTATTATTCGAGCAAGTGGGAACAGCTTTATCTCATACCGCTAGGAAATCGAAAAAACAAAGAGTTTTACGAGACGAGAAGTGTGTTTCGCAACTCGTCTAAAAAATATCCAAAAACTCAAAATTTGAACCAGCAATTCTTTATTGGGATTGTGATATCATTAAATCGGATTTATGTAATTTCAAAGTGATTAACTCCCAAATATCGTTTTGAAACAACCTATATTTTTATAAAATACATGTTTTTCGATGCATTCGAGATTGAACTGGAGAACTGAGAAGAAACTCTCGCTAAAAAAAGAATATCAATTAGTTAGACTTATTATTTTCAAATGGTTAAATGAACTTTGCTTCTCAGGTAAGGAACGCAAAATAATATAATTTCTTAATTTTCACCAGCATTGAGTTTTTAGTAAATTGAAAACTTTGGAAAATAATAACATTTAAAAAAATTGTTTCCGAACTTACGAGTATCAAAAACATATTGCAAATAAAATATGTTTCAAATCCATAAATTTAAACGCAGAAATCTGTTCAAATATTTATACAAGGAAAATGCGAGATAACTAGAGTGGTATAACATAACAATGTTTTTATTATTGCTCAATTTTGGGTTTGGCAACCACATATTGACGTTTTTATGATTTGAGTTACTTAATTGTACGCAATGAGACACCATTTGGCTCATTCAGATAATCGGAAAAATGCTACTCGCACCTTTTATGGCAAGAAACATAAAAGAAATACTTTATAGCAGAAAATATCTAAATTTACTTGTGGTTGTTGCATTTTATTCTATCTGATTTTCGCAAATATCGTTTTTACTTCGTTAAAAGCTTATCATATGATTTTATCAGGTCATTTATATGCCATCACACACGCTTTGACGCTTTATACCAAAATGCAGGCGATATTTTCATTTAAATTAAACGAACCATTTTATTGATGCTATTTAAACATGCTTAAACCCCATTACCAATACAAATTTCATATTTCTCCGTTCAGCCATTAAACCAAAGTCTTAAAAGGCAGCTACTTTTATTATTTCACAAAAACCCACACATAAAAAGGGTAATAAATCATTTTTATTAAATATAATTAACCTCAAAACTTTTTATAATAATTAAAGCGGATTTAAGATCCTCAACTCTGAAAGTTCTCTTCAATTTTTTTTTGTCTGGCTGGTTTTATAGACCGTTTCAGTGATGTATCAGTTTATAGCATATGATTTAAATTTTTATTGACATTCGGCAGTAAATCAAGTTTCGAATACCCAAATAGCGGCCCGCATTGAAAAATAATCTCATTCTTACACGGTCTCTTTATTTTATTTTAACGTTTTATTTTTTTATATATATGTATTAAATTTTATGTGTATTTCACCGCCGGGCGAACTGACGGCAATGCACAGTCAGTCCGCCTTGGTTCACTTTTTTGTTCGGAATCTCATCATAACATTATGATGATGAATTTTCTTGGCATAAAGCGAGGCAATTTGCGTATATCATGCTACATTGACGGGCTGAAATCTCTTCAGGTGATGATTAAATAAAACTGGTCTATATAAGTGTAGTATTTGCAAAACACATTGATGTTTTGCTATTTTTTATAGTATGTAAATTATTTATACGTCACTTATTTCAAAATATTCTATTCACACTGGCAAATCTGGCAATTAAATAATATTTTGCTTCAGTTCCTCAAGATCTTATATACAAGCTTATATACAGCACATCATTCTTTGGCTTAAATGAAAGGCATATGACCTACCTTTACTACCGTACTAACAAAAAATGTCCGGCTTCCCTGCTGTTTATTGATGGTCAAAGTTCTCTAAAAAAATCTACTAATCTACAAAAACTACCAGAACTTTTATTCAGAAGCAAAATCTATACCAAAAACTATGAATATTATATAAGACTTCACAAAAAAGGCAAAAAAGTCAAAAGAGGATTAGTGCATCAATCAACTGAAAATAAATCCAGTTGATTCCAGCTACCAAATAAAAAGTAGAAAAATTACGTCCACCGGTTAACATTGAATATTTTTGATTAGACAATATTGTCCGTTTCCTTTGGACAGAAAGAAAGAACCGCCGCTGTCGGCTTATTTAATTGTTGTTCTTGAAACGCCTTTATAATTTATCTGTGTGCGCTGGTAGTTTGAAAGCTCCGCCTAAATCTACCACTAATCTAGACTAAGTGTAACTTTTTCGTCTAACACACTTGTCATACTTTCCCATTTTGATGTAGAAAACAGGTTCCTTCTTAATTTTGCGTAATTGCTATTTTCAGATACATGAAGTATTTGTATATGTACGAATGTAATAAGCATAATTTGAGTACAACTTCAGAACTACAAACCGCAATCGAAGGAAACAAAAGAGAAGGACGGCGCAGCAATTATGGGCCAATAGACAACTTCAAGTACCACCAAGAGTAAGCATTTTATTATTAATTTTTGTCTGTTTCTGCCACAAAAATGATAGATGAACTAAATCGAATTTTGATACTTTCAGAGCAACGAATTCGCAACAAACGTTCAACGGTCTATCACTGGCTGCCCAATCACAGATGCAATCACGGTTAAACATGCTGCCTGCTGGAATCGCAATGCATAACGGAATGTCCCATAGTGTCAATTCTCAACCTATGCCGATCATTCAAAACGGTATCTGCATAGCCCAGCATTTAAGCGAATACATGAAACTTTTTAATGGACAAATGTAAGTTGGGAACTAAACTGGGTGTTGGTTGATAGTCGTATACACATTTCTGCAATAGTATAAAATTATACTCTAGCTTCAGTAAATACTGCAGCTTAGGAGATATTTCGTAAATTGATTAATAAATCCTGGAAAGATTTTCATTTTATTAGAATTTTTATTCTCTCTTGCAAATTTATGCACATATGTAATTACGTCAAATAATGAAAAAATAAATCTTTAAGTGCATTTAACAAATCTCGAAAACAAAGTAATTTAAAGCAGTTGCTCAACCCGTTAAGAATAAAAAATTTTTTTTAGCAGGATTCAGGATTTATTACCATTGTTGTTGCCTTTAAAAGCTACTTAACAAGGTGACTTAAACCAGACTAATATCCTTTCATATACGACACCGGTTTACTGAGACATAATATTGAAGCAGAATGGTTTTTGATGTTCACATCGACACATTCCTGAGTTAGCATTTTTACTTTTCATTTCTGTTCAGGTTTCCACAAGCTGACATGCAGGCAATTGCTTTGAACAACAGCGTGCCTGCTCAATACCAAAGATCTCCCGCACGAGAAATGCCTGCAATAAGAGCTTCGCACCGATCTCCTCTTAGGAATTTAAGCAACTCGAACCAATCGTCTAATGGAGTTATAGAGCCACAAAACGAGCCCATTAATCTCTCCGAATCTGCTCAGTCGACGAAGCGGGAGGTGCCGGAAGCTTCGAATTCACAAAACAAAAGAGTTCACCGGGATCATGATGTCGAAGATTCCTCCTCTAGTCTACCTACCCACATTCCACCACAGACTGCAAACTTCAAGATCGAGACCAGTGGTAAGTTGAACTCATAACATTTACACCGATATTTTGGGAGGTACTTTGGCTTATAAATGGTGTTCCAATAAGAACGACGGATTTAAATTTTTGTAGCATAAGTTTGAAACATTTATTGAAAAATAAAAGTGCACATCATAAAATTATGAATGGAATAAGACATCGGACAAATGACCGCCTCGGCTTTGCTGGCACAGACGTGCTCTTTTCATGAAATTTTCAAGGACTGTTGCGCATAAATTTTGCGGTATTTCAGAGATACAGCGTTGAATTTCATCTTTTAAGTCATCAATCGTTGTTGGTTTGTTCACATAAATTTGTCACTTTAAAAAACCCCACAGAAAAAAGTCGAAAGGCGTTAAATCGTATGATCTTGGAGGCCAATGCCGATCTCCAAAACGAGAACTAACACGACCAGGAAATGATTCGTGCAGTAATTCAACAGTTTCTCTGGCTGTATGGCATGTTGCACCGTCCTGTTGAAACCACATGCTGTTGAGATCTGTATTTTGCAATTTTGGTACAAAAAAGTTAGTTTGCTTGAACAACAACAACACAGTGGCTTCAGTTGGCGCATTCTGATGCATCTGAGCAACCGTCGTTCTTATTGGAACACCCTTTATAAGCTGTTTGGTACAGACAGCATATAATAAAATCTAATTCCTGGCAGTGCGCTAAAAATACTATTAATCACAAGTCAGTTCATTTGAATCAGTTAATTTTGTTGAAAATTCTTTTTATATGGCGTGCCAAAGTGACGCAACGAACAGTTTATTAAATTCAAAGACGGATCATTAATTTTAACACCCAACGCTTGATTGATTACAATTTTGTCCTGTGAAGTAATTCGGTTTTCCTCTTTTCCATGGAATGTTTGAGCATCAATTAGGTACCGAACGACTAATTTATTACTGTTTCTGGATGTATAAAATCAGGAACTTTATTAAGAGTAAATCTAAAAGTTTCGTTTTTCCTGGGAGTATAACGTTCATTTTGGTTTTTAGTCGTAGCTGCCACACAAACCTATTGTTGACCTGTCCGTTCACATGAACTTACTATTTGTTAACAACTTTGTTATTTTTTCAGTCAACGGTACAACAGGAGAGACAAATATATTTGTTCGAATGGAGATAAACGGGACGCAATATCAAGGACTGCTCTTTCCTGCTCCCAATTCTCAGTCCGATGAGAAATCCAACAACTAATCTGTGAACTAACTGTATATATTTATCTATGTAAGTTAGAGAAAATTTCCGCCGCTATCGATATCTGGAAACTGTAATTAGGAGAAACTTGAAAATTGGACAGTCATTGGGGGCAAGCGACTTAAAATATTTTCAAGATGGCGACAAGTACGTATTAACTTGCCTATTTTAACTGGAACACCCTATATATAATTCCATTTTTTGATTCTACTCCAAATTCTAAATATATTCCATGTATGTCCTTTATCTAGGTCTAACCGTTTTTGCTATATCCTAATTTTATGAGAAAAATCACAGATGCAACACTGGAATAATTATCCATTTTTCCTATAAGGAAATATCTGCTACTTAACTTGAGTCGCATTTCTTGTTGAACGCGACTTACTTTAGTGGAATTTGGACAATATTTTGATAAATGATGTTGTGGTTAATTAGTGACCGTGATGATAATCGGTAAGAGCCTTTTCACACGGGCCACTCTGCAGCGCTTCTCTGTGGCGCTGCTGAGAAGCGTAGGCATCTTTTACTGATTTTGAAAACTATTAACACAGTGTTTAAAAAATAAGTTTCAAAATGTCGTTGAGAAAACCGCCCAAATCAATTGGTCCAAAAGGAATCCCCCATTTTTGATAATCTTATCTTTTTCAGTATTAACAAGGGTAAGTTTGTGTTGTTCGCATATGGCTACTAAAAACGACCTAAAAAAGGGGTTTTCAATAAATGTTCAAACTGGCGTCCTTCAATTTCCAAACATGTTTGGCATCTGAGCGGCACTTCATCACTTCATGGGTCGCTTTTCGTATTAACTCGAGGGTTAAGTTTGCAAATTATTTCCTCATGCGTTGCATTCATAGTTGTCTTGGCTATGACTTAATATTTCAATGTACCACAGATAAAAAAATATGGCACTGAAAGATCTGGCGAGCCGGGTGGATAAAGAAAAGGACCATTGTTGGCTAACCATCGATCTTCAAAATTATTTTTTAAAAAAATATCGATGATGTAGTCACGATGTTGATAAAATAGGTTCCTACGAACAGCGAGCGAGAAATTGTGTGAATAGTCGATTTCCAAATTTTCCTAAAATTTCTTGATAAAAATGTAATGCCCCGACACTATTATTTCAAATTACACAATAAACATTAAAATTTCGAGAATTCTTGAAAATGTTGCTCTATGAACACATGTAAATTTGAATGGCTTCAATAATGGGAATTATCTCGATTAAAGGCATCATTATTTGTAATTTTTCCCTCGTCTGTCCAGATTCAACTAACATTATACATGGTGGATCTTTGAAGAGTGCAAATAATTTAATTATGATACACTTTGGCCCTAGAAGAAAGACTATCAGGTTCATTTTTCTTATGACCAAAACCTATCGCACTACTAGTACGTATTGCTGCGGAGAATTTGTCTGTGTTTTCAGTTTCTCAGCTTTAGGCCACATTCCTCTTGATCTTCAGGGGTTGGTAAGGGGATTTTTTTTGGTAAAAAAATAAACTTGACCAATATATACCATCAGTTAAAATATTTGTACTCATCAAAGAACCACTCTGTAGTTTCATGATTCTATAACGTTTTCATAACAATATTTACCAGACATTTTAAGCTAACATGTTGTCTTAACTGTTGTCGAAATGTGATAATTTTAAAATTATCCCATGTTTCAAACAACACACACAAAAATAAAAATAATTCCTAAAACTCAGTAATCTGTAGGCATAGAATTTCTTTGAGTCATCGTTTCTGACAGTCTCAACCTAAAAGTGAAACAAAAATAATACAGCGCTATACAGTATACTTTTAAGATATATATAAGATAATATACAGGGTTATTCACGCTATACGGCACGGACGTTTGCGGCTAGCCCGTTTGATTTTTGCAAAGTATTATTTGATGAATCCACAGACGCCTATCGGGTGCACATTAAAAAAATATTTTTGTAATGTACAGTATCCCAACAGCCCTAAAAGTATCAAAGTTGTGTTTTTCGAAATGATATTATTATCCTATATATTATTGCATTTTTGGATTCTCTGAGCAAAATAAGTGATTGTTTTAATGAGGTTTTTTAAATAATTCGAATTTTCAGTAATCAAAATTAAAAAAAAAAAAGTTAGAGAGTTGTGGACACCCTGTGTAACATGTATAACGGTAACACTTCACTATAAATTACGCTTAGATAACTTAAATACTTCGAAAAGTATTTGACATGTGAAAATTAGATTAGATTTTGATTAAATTTGTATTATTTAAAAAACTTTAATATTTAGGTATTATAAACCTTATTAAACCAGACATTTATTTTGTTCAGCGAATCAAAAAATGTAATAATATACAGGACATTCCAATTAAACAGAACGCAACTTTGGTACCTTTAGAGCTTTTGGTACACCCTGTACATTACAAAAATATTTTTAAAATGTGCGCTCGGTATCATCAAAAGGTTTAGCCGCAAACTTCCGTGCCGTATAGCGTGAATAACCCTGTATAAAAACTGTTAGTATGATATAGTTTGATTACGTTCGTGTGAAGCAAACGACAAATATGCCTGTTAAAAATATTTATTTTCTTTGCTCAGCTCATTTTATTGCCCTCAAATAATATTGATAAGCCTTTTGGTACATAACTAAACTGATCAACTCGAAATGAGAGCTGCATCGTCCACTTGGTCTAAGTTAGAGCTAATTTTGTTGAATATACTTACTCATATTAAAGTTTCTACAATTAAAAAGTTTAAGAAGGTATTCACCACTATATTATCACTTATTTTGCTGAACCAGTCAGTCTAGTAATCTGATAATCAAAAATTAAACATTCGCTGTTATTTCTTCTTCTTTATGTGTCGTCTACGTTACGAAGGTTGACAATCATCAAGGCTATACGTATTCGTGATACAGCTGATTTGTGGTGCAGTTGAACCAGTCTCGCAAATTTCCCAATCAAGAATGGCGTTTTTTTCTCCCCACACTTCTCCGTCCCTGTATTTTTCCTTGCATTATGAGTCGCAGTAAGTGGTATTTTTCTCCCCTCATCACATGTCCCAAATACTTCAGCTTTTTTTACCGTATCAATAATCTCTATCCTTTCTCATTCTTCTCATGACTTCCACATTCGTTATTCTATCGGTCCATTTACCTTCAGCATTCTGCGGTATAACCATAGCTCGAATGTCTCCAACCTTTTCATTTCTATCCCCTTTAAAGTTCATGCCGCTGCTCTATATAACAGTACCGATAGCACATAGCATCTCACCAGCTTGATCTTTAAATCTAGGCTTAGGTCACTGCTGCAGAACACCATTTTAATTTTCATAAATGTTGCTCTCGCCTATCCTATTCTGGTTTTGATTTCTTCATGTGCCCTTCATGTGCTGTTTTCATTTACAATGGTACCTAGATATTCATACAATTCATACCTATTAACTCTTCTATGGCTTGGTTAATTACTATGATTTTGGCGTTGTTTTGTGTTATTTTGGATAATGTCATGAACTTAGTCTTTTTTACATTTAGCGACAGTCCGAATTATTCGCTAGTGTTATTTACTTTGTCTAGCAGCTCCTGAAAATCCTCCAGACTAGTAGCCATCAGAACAGTATCATCCGCATATCTTATATTGCTAATATGCACTCCGTTAATTAGAACACAAAATGGCCACTTTCGTCATGGCAACTGATGATAGTCACAGCATTTAAAAATAAGATGCAGTAATATTCGCGAGTTCAATTACCAATGGTGGCGCTGCGAAACGTCAAATTACTCGTTGTCGAGTGATAGTTGAGACGTGTCAGGCTTGTTTTTGCTTTTTTATTTATTGGAATTGATGACATTTATAACATAAAATAATACTTGCACACTTTTCGATGTGTTTCTGTTTCTTTAAAAGCTTGCAAATGTTAATTAGAAGAAAACAAAACAAATCACAATCAGATGTAAACACCAATGTCAACAAAGCAAGTGTCAAATGACTACTTAACTTGTAGTTATAATTTTAACCACCAGAAGGTATTTTTGTTGGCGTTTGAACTCGCGAAATGAAAACATTAAATTGGCAACATTTCTCCAGTTTTGGAATATAAAACTTTGCACAAACTTACCCTTATTTTTAATACTGAATAAGATAAAATTATCAAAAATGGTAATTTTCTTTTGAAAGAATTTAATTATAAATTAGGAGTGGAATTCAAAAACGTAAAAATATAGTAAATAAGTAACTTGATACCTACTTCCGGTATAACCGAAAATGTGGCTATCTTGAAAATATCTTAGATCGCTTGCCCCGAATGACTTGGGAACACTGTCCAATTTTCAAATTAATTAATAAAATACATAATATATAATAAATTACAGTTTGCCAGATATCGATCCCGGCGGTTCCCTGTAAAATTCGTTTTGAAATATCGATTTTACACCTAGTGTATTTTGTAAATATATGTATATATATTTATTTTTTTTAGCCTAAAAGTACGAGTGACAGTTTGTATATATTTGAGGAAGGGGAGGTTTGTATATATGTATATTGTATAAAGGATTCCTAAATTTTAGTTAAATGCTGAAATTTATGTTTCCGTTAAGTTAGCAATTAAGCATTTAGAGTTATTAGTAATTTTTATTTATATGTAGTAACGTATAGTAGTTTGCATGTCTTTTGTTTTCGAGTAAATTGTTTTAACAATTACAAATTAAACGAATCATATAATCGTTAACTAATACTGAATAAGTAGTTTAACTTTAAGTTAGTTGTAGTTAGTAGTAGGTAGTATGTACGTATGTATAATGTATAGATTTATAATATAAATATTTACAATCATGTATTAGTGATAATTAATATTTTACAGAGCATCGACGATATAGTAGTATCATAAGCGACTTTTCTCTCTAAAGTTAATGTCATATTGGTATTAGCATAAAACATTATTAAAGGATGCTCACCGAAATTTGTAAGTTTTTTTTATCACCGAAATCGCCAACTACAGATGGTTGCCCAACTTATCAAGACTTTATTTCAGGAGGAAATGGATAGATGTTTTTATCCCATTTTAGCACAAGACTTCCAAAATGTATAGTCGAAATTTTCCGCATTCAATATAAGTGGTGCTCCATTCTTATCATGAAAAACTAAGTCTATAAAAATGTGGACCATTGAAATGCATTTAGTTCCCGTCTTATTTGTTATTAGCTTATAACTATTATCCAAACAAACTGAATTTAGTCCATTCCGATTTCCGACATTCTAGTGTATTTCATCTACAATTGAAAAATAAATTTTCATTCGGATATCGTAATTTTATGCTTAAAAATGCAGTAGTGACAGATTCGCTCCAAAAACGATTGAAACAAGTAACTTTTTCAACTCTTATCTTCCAGCAGATAGAATTTTCCAGAAGGTGGAAAAGCTCTCAAAACGACATGTGTTTAAAAAATACGAGAAATCTCACAACTTCAAACTGATTGGTAATTGGTGAATATAAAGACAGTTTCAATCTGTTTGAGAAAAGTCCTAGGAATTAGTTTAGGTGAAACAAATAATCATCAAAAGAGGAAAAGCCTTAAGGGTTATGGCGAAATCTGAAAGTCTGCATCAAGCGGATGATCTCGCAAAAATGTGCTAAAACCGAAAAGCGGTTGGATCAAATACAACTTTTTGTTGAGTACGACTTAAGTATGAAATAAAGCTGAAAAAAAAATAGTTTAAAAAATGCTTGTTACGTTATCTGTTGACGGATAGTACGACACAGACGCGGAMCTGAAATKTATGCCAAAAATATTTCYTCCAGTGTGATTATACMTATAATTTTTTTTATTTTGAAATAAAAAATAGTTTTCTGTTGATTTGTGAAAAGCAAACCAAGCTTATTTTTGTTGAATTTGAGAGATTTTGTTTTTTTTAATAAAGCGTATCGATCAATCAGTCTTCAAACATTCAGAACAGAGAAATTAAACAGTCACCAAACCGAATTAATCAGATCTTCTCCATCCATTTTCCAAGTTTGTAAAGGTGTTTTAACGTTTAAAAGGTGTTTAAACAAAAGCACTACCTTTGCATATATTACAAATTAGTCTACCAATTAGCTGCTATTGCTATAAAACATTTCGATAAAATTTTTAACTTTTATTCTCGTTCATTGTTCTACAAAAATTGGCCAAAAAACACTATAGGGCTGAAACTGAAATGTTTCTGGTACTGATTTGTAATACGAAAAATGCAAGCCAGAGATAAATGTTTCATTACAAATTATTKTATTAAAGTACCTGTTTGTTGCAGACTTACTACACATCTGGAACAAAAAATATATATTAGCATTATTACCTTRAAATTAGTGATGGGAACTATCGAATTTCTTAATATGCTTTATATATATATAAATWATCTTTTTTTCCTACAGAAAAAGGMTATCGACCCACGATCTACTAAACAAACTACAAAAATTTGTAACAATAAAAACAATTAAAATTGTAGCAGATCTTTTTGGRAAAAGTTTATAGTAAATTGTATTCATTTTTATCATTAATTAAAATAGGCTTACACCACTTTCATAGAAAATGGCTCATATCGTTTTGAGGTTTGCAAGACCCTTCTTGGAATAAAACAACGCTTGCCCTCGAAATTCCGTTTTTGTTTGTC